TTCTAAAAGTATAATTTAAAATAACAATCATTAGATTTAATATTATTAATAAGCTTTTTAATTTATTTTATAAAATAATGTATCAGAAGTGATGATACGACCTATATAACGGAATGATCTGATATTGTAAAAAAATTTTTTATATGTTTACATCGTGAGAAGGATCAGTTGTGTAACATCGACAGTTCTGGGATAGGAAAAAAACTTTCAACCTGTGCATCTAAAAAAAAAATACTCAATATTATATACAGTTAGATCTCTCTATAGTCACCTCCTTTATAGTTACATTTAATTATAATCATATAAAATTTTAAAACCAACTTATATAATGCTTATAAAATTTAACTGTTAACCTCACAAACTCTCTATAAGCACCAAATTCTTAAAACCAAGGGTGTGATTATAGAGAGGTTTGACTGTATTCTATATATAAATATATCACACTTAAGAAAAATTTCGGTATTAGTGACCATATATAGTTTTAATTTACTTAGTTGACAGACCACCCAACAAGACGTAGGAAAGTTAATCGGTCCGCAGTAATTGCCAACAAGTTATAGAAGTTATTTCTTTACAACATTCTCTAGTAAAAGTTTATCGGCTTTTGCATTAGTTTTGAGTAAGCTAGATGGGATCGATTAGGGACTTATCAACAAAATTTTCTCCATAGTGTCGGATCCCATCTAAATTACTCAGAAATTAATGCAAAAATCAATAAACTTATATTAAAGAGAAATAACTTTTCTATAAATATTACTTTTTGAATGAATACTAGTTAAAAATATAAATCTTGCTTAAAGTCAGCTGATAATTACTGCGGCTAGCGTTGTCAACAAAATTACGATGATTAATCATCACATACTACATATAGCTTATATTTATTGCGTGTGAATTAGTAGTTATTTCCTTGTGATTATTAATATTACGATTAACGTCCCTAACGAGATGTTCTCACCCGCAGGATATTGCGCAATATTTGTTCTTATATAATCTGTAATCAATTTGTAGCAAAATCAAAAAGAGATGGATATTTTATTAACATTACTACTATGATACCGAATTACTAAATGATGCAGCAAAAAAAATATTAGCTAAGAAATAGTTGTTAATATATACAATTGCCGAGAATTGTTGAATAAATTTAATAAACTGATGTGTCTAATTTAACGGTATAATATGCTAACAATTAAGAGACAATTTGATGTAATATATATATACATTTTTATAAATGCAACTGAAGTTCATTTCTATCGATTGAAGAAAGAATTAAGAAATATAATTCTTTCCTTCGTTTGTTCAACGCCGTGCTTTCGTAAAATGTCTTCAAATTGTATTCGATCTGTCGACGCAAACAGAATAGCATCTTCTTCGTTATCCCAAAAATATTTTTCGTTGATTACTAAAAATTATAAACAATTTATTATTTTGGATATATTAAAAATAAGGTCATGGTGTTGAATGTCTATACTCGGAAATCACGTGAATTTCTTGTTTTTCAATTTCATGCATATGTTTTATTTAAATAAAAAAATTGATTGAAACCAAATTTACCAGTCGCACGATCGCCGAGTATATCTATATAAAAAAAAGCAAATCGATTTTTGTTCATTTATGATTTCAAAGGTTTAAATCATCAAAATTAACTGGTTTATCTAGTTATCTGTTTAAGGTTTATGAACAAAAAAGGATTTGCTTGATATGTCACATGTTACCAATACCTTATTAAAAATAAATACTTACCATTATTACTTAAGTAATCTCTAACAGCTGCGAAATTGCAAGAAGTATCGCCTAGTATTCGAATCACCTCAGTCTTAGGAACATGGAATTCTTCAGACAACTCTTTAACCTTGAGCAAAAATTCTTCATCAACAGCTGAATATCTCGAACGTTTGGATGCCGGTTGCTCTTGCACATCCTCATCAATGCGACGTCTCTTGCCTAGTTTTATGCTTCGATCATCAAATTCTCGAGTTGGTCGAGGTGAATTCTCGTCAGTTAGATAATTTATCGGGTTAATTTCACTTCCAGATTTACCAGTAAAGGAATCTCCCGAAATTGTTTCAAAAGACTCAGAAACGTCATATTCATCATCTAACGAAGTTAAGTTATTTATTCTGGAATTTTGTGTTAAAGGACTAGTCAATTCTGCTAAATCATCATCATTTGCATCTGTGATCTCATTTTCTTGATTCTTCCTTATAGCAGATTCTAGTATTTCTTCCGTTGCTAGATCATCTGAATCTGCATCCTGCAATGCAGGTGAATTATTGGCTGACCGGACTTTACTTATTGTTTGGGCATTACGAGTAACGTTGCTATTGCCCACAAACTTTCTGACCGCCCGAGAACGCCATGCCTGCCAAGTATGTCGCGGATTCTTAAAATTTAGAAATGTTAAGTAATGAACAAGGTAATTAAAGTATAACAAATATTTGCCTTAAAATACATACAATTTTTTCAAACTTCTTATATATTTCATTTCCTTTAAGTCCTTCAGATATTGAATTTAGATAACTTTCCAAGTCTCTATCATCTTGTACTGTAAAATTACAGCGACTAGATATAACCAATAGATATAGCCAATTAGTTAAAGCGTATAAAAATAATAGATTAAAAACGATAGAATTGTAAAGAATTAATAGAGAACTTACCCGGATCTTGAACCAGAAATGACCAATTCATAACTACTTGGGGGTCTCAATCTTTTTGCAGCAATCGAATCCAATACAAATTTATAACTAGTTACTTTATCAACTCCTTGCATCGGTATTTGTGTTTTTGTAGGATCACCAAGAACAAAATCTGCATCACAGTAATTTTCAGTAATTTCGCCACCATGCTCCTGCGGATTAATTTTTTTAAAAACCAAAATAATAATTTATTTGTAACCCGTCAAAGCCGGTAATCTTAAGAATAATATATACCATAACTTACTTTTATTTTTTCAATCAGAGTATGCCTTTGGGGCACATCACGTTTGACACAGAATGTAATAGGTGTTTCGTTATTAACTAGTAGAAGTCTTAGCTCAGAACGTGAGGTTAAAACCATCGTATCAACGATTAGGCAAGACCAATTTAATTCTCGTTTAACATAATCTCCCCCTCTATAATTTTATGAAAAAAATACACATCACATTAACCAATCAAATTGCAGTATTAGCTTTTTGATATATTTCTTATTGTTTTTACAGCCCAATAGAATGCTGTATTTTTTTTTAATTTGCGTATTTTTTATATCCCCACTTTTTAATGTTATGTTAAACGAAGAATCAATTTGGAGTGACCTTACTGAAATATGATAACGATAATGCTAAACCAATAAAACACGTATTTTCTAACCAATAAAACTACACATATAATGGTCAACCAAAATAGCTAGAGTTTGATATTTAAACGCGTTCGTAAAAACAATAATAAATGTTACTTCAAAGGTTATGTAGAACGCGCTAATATAAAGTTAGTTTATCAACATGACTCTCTTCGCCAGGAGCCAAGACAGTCTCACAGTCAGAGTCTATGAATGTCAAAATCGGTAGTCAGTGCAGCCACAGGCGGATGACTAATATGTACGTACATACCTGAGGATTTACTTATTTGCGCTGGTGATACAATCCCAAAAAAGAAAAAAACTAAAATTAATTTGCACAAATAACGCGTGAGAGTCACGGCGGTAGGGTTAGGATTGGGATTAGAATAAGGCTTAGCGTTAGTGTATACGTACTAAAATTTTGAGGAATTTTTTTATTAGCGTTAGAACGTAAAGATGGTTTCAAAGACAATTTCCTTATTTGGATTTGTATCACCGGCGCAAATAAGTGTTTGCACATACATATATACAATACAAATATAAATTATGCGGGTAAGACCGATCGTAATTGTAGGTAACAAAATACATTGAATATCAAGCATAAGAACACGTGTATGAATTAACGCATTGTACAAAATTATTTATGATTAATTAAAAATATTTATGCATATATAGCTTATATATTTATGATTGTGATAATGAATCATAGTCCTTGTAATTCATCTCCTCATATAAGCTTGAGAACTAGAATTCTTTGACACATTTCGTTTAAAGCCATTGATCAAATCTATAACAGTAGGATAAATTTGGTCTTTTAATTTGTACCCGTCTGGTCTGATAGATCCAGTCTATACAATTAAAATTAATTATAAATGAGTCTAAATTAATTGATTGGAAGTTAATAGCTAATTCAACCGAGACATACCCAGTTATCAACTTGAGATCCCGGCTTGAATTTGAACATAAATAAGAACCAGCCAGGGGTCTTAGTATCAAGGCAAAATCCATATTCAGATTGTTTTGGATTAAAGGTTAAAGATATGTCGAGAAATTCCCCTAAAGTTTAAAACCCCAAGGTTTAATAAATGAATTATAATAAAGATAATATATAATTACTGATTATGACTTACTCAGTGAATGCTCCGAAGGCTTGAATTTCGTGTGATTTACTAAAGCCTCAACTTTCTGAGCTTTGGCTTCTACATAGTCTACAATTAGTTCATCTAAATCAGAATAGACATGTTTTCCATTTTCAACTTCAAGTCTACGTCCAATTGCGGTCCCAATTTTATCTTTTTCAACAACATCTAAAATCATTTGTAAATTAGAATAATTGTTAAGTGATAATCGTAATAAATTTTACCTACCAATATGCTGATAAATATTATCGAATAATTTCCAAGTAATACTTATATAATCAAATCCTTTGGATGATGGCCGAATTACCAACGAACCAGGTTGCTTATCACTAAGATAATCTTGTGCTTCTGCATAAGTAAACGGCTTGAACATTGGATGCGGTATAATACGTGTATGAGGTTTAGGAGTAATTACATTTCTCGGTTTTGCTAAAAGTACAATTAAATAAGATTTCTCTATTTGTTATGCAATTAACCATACAATACGTAAATAAACGTTACTTTGTTTTGAATTTTTTTCCCTTGCCTCCGCATCATAATCGTAATCGGAATCTACTGAACGTTGGGATTGAAATGTTTGCTTTCCATTCACATCCCGCGGACGGCAGCTCAAAGTGACAGAGAATTTTATCTTGTCAATGGACAAAATTTTTGCATAGATTTGTTGATCCACATGAAACCTTGATCGCAATTCTTGCGACTCTATTCTATGATCCGCGACATAACCAATAGTGATTGTACCATCTAACCCTGAATCAAGCTGACATTTGAGTGCTTTGTCATCAATCTTATAAATCTTCACACAAACAATTAAACCCTCATATAAAGTTTCATCAGTTTCTCCTGTTATCATTTCAAATATTTTTTCAGATGTAGGTATTTCAAAAGGCTTTCGAGGATCTTCATAGGGTTTCATCATTTCATTTTTGATATTATGTAAAATCAATTTTGTTGGAGACTCGTAATATTTCGAAAGGCTTTTAGCATAATCCTCCAAAATAAGATCATTAAGCCTTTCTGGCTCAGCTGATAATTTTTTAAGAAAATCGCGACGATTAGATTGTTGCAATTCCTCCTCTGCTTCATCATCATCCATATCAAGAGCATCAGCAGCCATTTTACGTGCTAAAATGTAATATGTAGGATGAATGCGAGTGTCATCAAATGGGTCTGCTGGCTTTGGTCGAATTCGAATGAAGCCGGCGCAATTAGCATACACTTTCGGGCCTAATTGATACAATTTATTCAAATCCTCCCTTCTTGCTACATCTATTAGATCAACAGCATATCTTTTGTCCATATCAACAGTCTGACCCTAATGTAGCGAGACATTAAACAACATTGAATTCATCTACGATTAAATAAAGTCAATAACACAAATTTTGGTAGATCTTACCTCAATTAAAATCCTCTTATACAATGCATCGACTTTTCGTGGTCCTAATCCACTAACGTATTGCAGCAGGTCAGTTTTGTAAGGAGAATTTATCACTTCATTTATATCAACTCCAATTTCATTCATGATATTTATGAAAGCCCTTTGTAAACATTCAAGCTCTTTTTCTTTTGGTAACTAAAGGAAAAATGGTTTAAAAAAAAGTGTACTAATACCTAACAAAAATTGATTTTGTCAATTCCATACCAGGCTTTGCAGTGAATGACATTTTATAGAAGTGATTGATTCTTCAAGCGCAGCATATTCTTGAATGGGATTCTGTAACGTTCTTGCCAAAGATATGCAGTACCTGACAACTTCGTTATAATCAGAATCTGGATAATCATTTCTCCCACGAGATGAAAGTCTATATATTTTGGCAACCTCATCATCGATAACAATTATTGGAGTGTCTTCACCACCATGATTTTTGTAATATCCAACTACGTCTTGAACATTTTCTAATAAATATTTTGTCCGATTATCGTAAGAACGTAATACAATAGCCATTGGCTTATGTTCACGCAAAAACACGTAAAAATCATAAAAATCTTTTGACTCTTTGTCTCGAAGATCACTAAAATGTACGTTATCTAGAAGCCGTCCATTCCTGTCAAGGCAAACACATTCGACAGGATGTCGGCCGCCTGGACCCCATGAAACAGCCATTACTCGTCGTTTGGCATCATCTTCGTAGTCGTCGTCATCTTCTTCTTCTTCGTCATCCCAACTTGAAGTAGGTTTATATGGGGCCACATTTAATTTCTTTTGAAAGATTGCGGGTTATTTTAAAGTAACGTAAATTATGAAATCGTTGTGGTGTTAAAATAAACGAATTTTATGAAAAATACAAACAGATTCGAGACCAAGCATGCATTGTCTCATTATCCACTGCTCAGCATCATCTTTAAGTCGTGCTTTTATCCAGATGTCAATTATAGGGCATAATACTTTATTATAAGCTGCATGAACCGCATCAATGCGATAGCTATTCCACTTTTGATCAACTTGATTACCCCGATTATCACCAACTATGTGTTTTTCAAGAATATCAAGAAAATCATCTTCACGCTCCAACTCAACTTTAACCTTGAGTATGCCGCGATCCTCGCCTTTCATGATTTTAGCAAATAATCCTGAATTTCTAAATTTACTAATCGGCTTCCTCAAGTATCTATAAGGCTGAATAAAATGATCAAATGTAAATAGACTGGTAATCTTAATGTAATTGAAAATTTAAAAACTCACCCAACATTCATGATTAGTATCAATGTCTTTATGTGGTGCCGGAGTTACAACTATAATACCTTGCTCAAGAACGCGTCTACGAACAAACTTTCGGAAAGAAGGTTCGAACCCAATATCCTGAGAAAGCATTTTCACGGCATCTAATTTCGATACAAAAATTTGAACTATCATCTAAAGATATTCAATTGTAACGAGGCGGCTAAGTTTCAGATTTACCTGCAAGCGCGAGCTCAACAGGGTTTAGGTTAGTGAATTCCGCTTTTCTAGTATAAGCTGAAGCAAATTCTTGTGCCGCACTGTACGGATCCTGGATGGCTTCATGAGGATAGTGAATCTTTTTTCCAATATTTAAGCTTTTTCCAAATTCTTTTATTCGAACACCGAATTTCTATTAAATAAGCATTCATACATTAGAAATAATTCTGACAAACGATAGATAAAATGAAGAAAATATCCTTACACTAACTAATTTGTCAAGATTTCGACTCATGCATTCTTCGTAAAACGATACTTTTTTCACATGTCGACGAGAAGTTAAAGCGGCAACAATTTGTTGAGAAAATTGATGATGGATATATCCATGTAAATCTGAGAGTGCTTCAATAGAAGATGCCTCAGATAGAAAAATGTCAACGTGATCATCGTCGATACGATATTTCTTAATAGTGTCTTTAATTTCTTCACGCTTTTTAATAAACAATCTGTATTTATATTCAAGATCATAAATATGCCACAAATCTGCTCGCGTGAGAATTTCTTGAGGTGGTCTTGAAAAATCATCATCAAATTCTGCGATGTAATCTCGACGATAAGTATATATATAAGGAACCTATAATATCAATTGTGAAATTATAAGGAACTTAAATTTAACATGTCAAGTAGTTATCTATAAAATAAAATTGGTTTAATTACCTCAAAGA